ATTCGCGTACAGCGGCTCAGGGTTTAGGGTTTAGGGGTTATGGGTTTATGGGTTTAGGGGTTTATGGGTTTAGGGGTTTAGGGTTTAGGGGTTATGGGTTTATGGGTTATGGGTGTAGGGTTTAGGGTTTAGGGTTAGGGTCAGGGTTTAGGGTTTAGGGTTACAAATCGCTGTTTGGGCGGTCGAAATCAACAGTGGCAGATGTTTCGTAACTAACTTCGGTCTGTAGCCGTATGTCCATGACTGTGTTCGCTTGCGCTCTCCAAGGCTGCGATGACCGTTCTTTATACACGCCTCCAAAAGAATGAGCTATAGTTTCTTGTCGCCTAAACCTTCTAAACCCAAAGCCCCCAATCCTCAAATCCCGGTTTAGGAGCCCCTAGTGAACTCTGTGGCTTCTGTTGTCAGCCTCACCCCCGGTTAAGGGTTTAGGGTTTACGAAGCTTTCCAAGGCAACCAAGAGCAAGGAGGCGCCTTACCTTGCAGCAACATCGGAACCCTGGGTTTGCCAAATCCTCCGCCAAACTAATGTAGGGGCCTTAATACTTGGAATAGGGTTTTGGGGAAGATTGCACTAAAATTCTAACAAGGAACCCCCAAAATAGTAGTGGTAGTTATTTAGGCCCGTCTATTATCCCAAGCCGTATTGCAGCTTCAAGCCGGATGCCGCCAAGAGTCTTTGTGGATCCAGTGGCCGCCCTCCTCCAGCGAGACTCTTGTTCGGAACACGATTGGCCTCAGGGCCTTTGGAGTGGAAGGATGCGGTGCTGCGGTGTAAGCTTTGAGGACGCACAATATGCGTGCAAGTGTTGGCATGGAGTTGTCCAAACTTTTCGATGTTACCTGAACCCGAACCTCTAATCAAACATGCCTAAATCCTATAGCCTACAATACTAAAAGCGCTAAACCCTAGTGTGAGCACTAAGGAAAGAAGTGTTGGTAATGATTCAGACTTGTATATTATGTATGGCGAGAGGAAAAGACAATGCACTGACACCGGTAATGGTGACTTTGCATAATGCAAGACTCCTCCAAGATGGCGCTTCAGCACTTGAGGTCCAGGCAACAGCAACAGCCGGAACAATCGTCCTAATATAGGGGCCTTAATGGTTAGAATACGGCTTTGGGGGCCCGATACTACAATTATAACAAGGAACCCCCAAAACCCTATTCCAACTATTAAGGCCCCCTACATTACCCTAGACCCAAAACCCTACATTAAGGCCCTTACACTAGGTTCTCCCAAAAATAGTATTGATGATTGTTTGGGCCCCTACATTGCAGAACCCGGGCCGGGTCCTGAATCGTCTGGATGAAGTCGGCTCTCACGATCCTCGGATGGCTAGCGCAGCTCTGAGGCCCCAGCCGGTAGCAGGGATCAGCACATGAACCCCCTCGTAACTTTTAGGGCGCCCTGTGCGACTGCAGAAGTTTCAATGTCGCAGCTGCCCATAAAAGACTGACTTGCAGCAGAATCAGTTCAAAGTTACGTATCAACCAAGGTACATGATGCAAAACCAGGTAACACTATGCAGTAGAAAATGACAACACATAAATGTACAGAGTTAACTAGGAGACACATCAGAATGAGACTACTGATAAGAACAACCATCACAGATCATCACAGTATACAAACGTGTACTTCCGAACGTAAAATACGACCTTAAATCACCACGGCCGCACCTCGGTGCACGTATGCACACAACATTTACATTCATGTAGAACAACCATGAGCAACTCTTGACGCTTTCAACGTATAGGGCCACGCCGGCCACGCCAGCAGTGGGGAATCGACGCCGCAGACGTAGAAGGTCAGCGGCAGTTGGGCTCAAGAGTGTTGAGTGAGGGGGGGTCCGGGCCTGAAGTGGCTGTTTTTCTCCATTCACGCTCATGTCGTAGATCTCGCCGGCGCTGTCGCAAAAGTCTTCAGGTATTCCAGCAAGCCCCTTTGTGGATTTGCTCGGACACCCGCAGCAGCTGAGCAGCGCGGCGCATCTTCAAACAATGCATGCGTGCTCTGATGTGCTCTGTTGGCACACGCATCACATAATCAATCAATGGCTCTCGAAGCAGTACGTTGAAGATACCCGCATAGCACCAACTTGCGAAATCACCTACTGCTAGGAACGCTGCATGTGCGTTGCACAGAAACGAAATAGTACTGCCAAATGAGCCGTACGAAGAGGGGTACACCAGACCGAGCGCTGGGCGAATGTGAGACAACTGCAAAAAGCCCCACAAGGCCGCGCATTGCAATGTTTCCCGATAGCTCATAATCCGGATGCCGTCCTGGCCGGGGGAGTCCTAGACAGAGGTGTACATGCATGCGCATATGTATGTGTATATGTGAAGGTATGTGCCTTTGCATGTGCAAGCAAAGGTGTGTATGTATCTTTACATATGTATGTAGATATTTCTGTTTAGTTTAGTATTTACTGCTGAGGATACTACCGATAGGTCGCGTAATACACATACATGGATATATGTGTGTATGCATGTATGTTTGTATGCATGCATGTATGTATATATACATAGAAAAATTGTTGCATATAAATATAAATATGCTTATGCATATACAAAAATAAGGTAAATAAACATGTATACATATACATATACAAATGCATATACATATACATAAATGTATATATATATATATATGCGAAAATAACAAGGCATAAACATGTACATGTGTACATGTATGTATTTTTACATAGACAGGTATGTATGTATGTATGTATGTATGTATGTATGTATGTGTATATATATATATACATATATATATATATGTACATATACATATAGTTTCCATATATGCGCTAGTTACATGCATGTACATATACATAAACATATACACATACAACTACCTATACACATATAGACACATATACAGATACGAATGCACGCGCATAGATACATACTTACATGCATGCATACATACATACATGCATACAAGCAAAAATACATGCATACATTCATACATGCTTACACGCCTACATGCATACATACATGCATACATAAATATACACATACATCCTTGTTGACTTACTTACATACATACCTGCATGCATGCATACGTGCACCCATGCATCCATGCATACCTACATACTATATGCATGCAGGCATGCGTACAGGCAGACAGGCAGATAGACAGACAGAGAGACAGGCAGCCAGGCAGACAGACAGACAGACGGATATACATACGTGCGCACATATAGGCAACTGTTTATACATGCATCTTGTAGGTGTATATATCATATGTCATCGATGTCTATATAACAAGCAAGGGTCGTGTAGAGCCCAAGGTACATTCGCTCGATCATGCACACTTTCGCTCTCAGGCCTTCGTTGCCATGAGCATCAGGGCTCCTCCACGGGGGTCCAGCTGCCCGCATCGGAGCCGCCTTTGCGCACAGATGACTACTTCACTTTAAATTTGCCCAAAACCTCTGCTGGCGAGAATGCAAAAGCACATTCATTCGCTTTGAGCTCCCTCCCCGCCCTTTGCACGTCATACCATGCATTGGCTGCTGCTCTTGCGGCAAACACAAGCCTCGTTCACTTAGACAGCAGGCCCCCATGCGCGGAATCGCTCAGAATTGTGAGTTCGAGTAGAAGCCGCAAATCTCCAAGGAGTGCACACTACGAGGCATCCCAAAGCTATTGCCCATGCATCAGATCTGCACTGTCGAGAACTGGCTCTGTTCTGGCCTCCATGCTTGCGCAGCCAATCCCTTAGTTCCGGCTTTAGTCTGATTCCTTGCAAGCTTTAGCGCCCCCAGAGCGAGCAAGCGGAGTCGTTTAACACGGCAATCAGCAGCGAAACCCGTCAACTGCAGCCCTCATAAATCTGCCATCAGCCATCAGATTGGCCACGGACTCAAGCATCTGAGGATCCCAGTCTCTCGTGAGATGGTGGCCCAAAACAACCTTCATGCTGTGAGTCCGACTAGCGGAACTTAACGTCATCAGAAGGGTAGATCCTGAACCCGTATTTCGCCGGAGGTCTCTTGCCATAGCTTGAAATCCACGTTCATCTGTTCATACTTGGAGTTGATGGCCTGAGCACAAAGCCAAAAGACTCTGTGTGAAAGGTCGACTTCTGGAGTGCGCATACTTGAAATTGCATCGGGTACGTGTAAACAAGAAAATAGACTGGTGCATTGTCTGGCTTCACACTAAGTTTGCCAGCACAGACTGGTAGTTATGGTAGTTTTGATTGGGTCCTATATCGGCTATGGTTCCTCCTACTATGTTCGCATACGGACCCACTCTTCATCCCTCTGTAAGAAGCCTCACCGGCGCAGAAGACGAGAACTGCGATCACAACTCGCGCAGCAGTCATTTTACGCAGTCAGGTTCGACTTAGTCAGCTGCTAGGTCACTGCCACAAATACAAATAAAGAAAGCCACAGCAGAAAGCAGCACCGAGGGGCTGTCAAGGGTGCATGCAGAGCTCATCGGTGTTCATGTCTAGCTGGCTAGGAAGAGGCCACATGCTCTACGAGTTAGGTAACTATCGCCAGCACCTGGCCAGCCGATTGCGGCGTTGCGTGGATTCCGTCATGCAGGCGGTCATGTGCCCTACTTACCCTAGTTTCTCCAGTGTTGGATGGACACCTAATGTCGTTGCTCATCCAGATGGCCTCCTGGATCAGCGTCTTGATGTCCGGCATCTGTTGCCTGGCGTAGAGAAGCACGCAGAGGCAAGGCATGGTTCACGATCCCTAAACCCTAAACCCCTGTGCGAGCATCGTAACAAGGGCGAGACACTGGAGAGCCAGCACCGAAGTTCCAGAGGCTGCATCCTGGAAACTTGAAACTGCGAAAAAGATATTGTATTTATGTAGGGGCCTTAATAATTTCAATAGGGTTTTGGGGCCCATTGAACTATATTTGTAATAAGGAACCCCCAAAATAGTATTCCCTATTATATGTAGCACATTATCATCACAACTCTTACCGAGCACTGCTCAAAGGGCGCATGTTACGTGGACCCCCACCTGTGCGGGCAAAAGCAGTTCAGCTGCAGCCGGGGCCATGGACATAATCTTGAGGTCGCCGTAGGCGTCTTCGACAAGTGCATGCGCCTCGGTCGATTGGAAAGCGGCCTCGTCCTCCACGAAGCCACAGTTGGTCAGCTCCAGAAAGGAGTTTTTCTGGTCCACGGCCTTTCCGATGCGAAGCTTCAGCCGCCGATGTGTGGCTGCGGCAGCTTCGATATCGCTCTGCACCGCCTCAACGTCATCGCGCAGCCCTGCTGGACGCTCCGACACACGGTGGGTGGTTTGGCCCTGGTTCCAACGCTGCTTTGTTCTATCGAGCTCTCCCTGAAGACGTCCCTTGGCGTCCTGCAAGTCCTGGAGCTCTGTGGCCACCTCGCCCTCAGCTCGGCTGAGTAAGGCCTGCCCCGAAGGCGATGGTACAAGGCTTTGGCCCATGCTGGAGCACCGCCGTAGCCGCTGCCTGCACTGACTGCAACGGGGTATAGTAGCTGAACAGATCGACAGATGGAAGGATGAAGGTAGCAGGTAAACATCAGCAACGCATGCACACTTACTAGTTGCATGTCCAAGGTACGATCATATCGTTACGGATGGCTTCTTCGGCAGATGCCAGTGCATCGCAACACTCTTGACAATTAGCTCCTGCAAAGGCCGCAGCATCTGTGCATGCGTCCAGCTTGGTCTCCACCGTGGTGATTTCGTCCTGCAGCCCTAACCCTGAACCCTAAACCATAAACCCTAAAACCCCTTACCCTCAACCTTAAACCCTAAACCCAAAACCCCTAAACCCCTAAACCCCCAAACCCTAAACCCGAACACGACCATCCTGCAGCACGTCCAGAGCGGCATCCTGCGCCTGAAGCTTCGTTGCTGCATCTGTGTACGCCGGCGCCACTCTGGCGAGTTCCTCGAGGACCTTCCGCAAGTCCGCAGCCGCCTTGGCTTTCTCCTCTGCTGCTTTCTGCCGGATGTTCTGACAGGCTTCCATCTGCAGCTTCCTGGTAGCCAGGTGATCTGTCAAACTCTGAGACACGTTGTCAAGCTCAGTCTTGTCGACAGCCGTTTTTTCTTCACTCTTCTTGAAGGCCTCAGCTACTGCCGCAGCTGCGCAAATGTCCTCCAGTTTCATGGGCCTCTTGCTCGCACTCAGAATCGTATCCGCAACTTCTGAACATTTTGCTCGTCGGTCTGCTATCCGGGAGCGCGCGATCTCCCGAAAGGCTGCGGATTTCTGATCACCGCTCATGTTCTTTACGACATCTGCTGCATGCACAGACTGGAGAACTTCGTTGCGAGACTTGCCCTGATCCGGGTCAAGGTCGAGAAGCATGTGCGTGCGACTCTTGACATACTTAAGCTTTCGGCGAAGATCCAACAGAGCTTTCTCCTCAGCTCCTGGATCCTGCCCCAGCGCAGCAGCCTTAACACTGTTGATGCGTGCTGTCTCTGCTTCTGCTTTTGCCTTGTTAGCCATCTTGAGCTCAAGGGCAGCCCTTCCTGTCGCCTGGATGCCCTCGACACTCACAGTATCGGGGGAAAACTTGAAGCCGCTCAAGGCGCATGGATCATCTGTCGTTCCGTGTTGAGAGTGGTACGTCACCAATGCCTCCACCACTTGCTGCTTTGTCAGGCTTCGTTGGTCGCCTTTTGCTAGGGCTTCATTCACCTTGCCGGCAAAAGCAAAAATAAGCGAAAGCTACACATGCCTGGCTGCTCAAACTGGAATGCGGCGACACGACTCACACAAAGACCACATCTCCCGCCTGCTTCTCGAAATGAGCCACTGTTTGAACCATCGACGAGGCTCCCTCCATGATCTCATCCCAAGCCTTCGGCAAGGCCATGGCAGTCTTGGCGGATCCGGACTTTTCTACAGGCCGTGTCTTGGCTTGAAGCTACCAGGGCTGCAAGATCTGTCCACGTGGGCGAGCAGGTGCATCTCGTGTGCTCACAGAAGTGGGCTATTTAACCTGTTCGTCGAAAGTTGTTTCGAATCAGCTGCAGGTCCTCCCCACTTCGCAAACAGAACACACCACAAGAGCACGTTCCGAGGTCTCCTGGGTTTCGCATCTTTTTAAAATCCGCGCAGCATGCATCGTGAGATAGATGTTGCACGCTTATGCCAGCTCGGATGAGCAAGTGTGGACACGAAGAGACCTGACAGGGGTCCGAACCACAATGCTACTTTAAGATAAACGGGTTGGTTCCCTAGTGCATCACGAGACAGAGACCTGAATTTGAAGAACGCTCTGAAGGTTTGCATCACATCATGGAGTGCAATGGCAAGTCCTCAAATCCCTCCCTCCATCAGCCTTCCCAAGCCCTTGCTCGAATTGCTATACACCCGAAGATGCTCCAAACCTTCCGTTCCTGCGGCATGGGTCCGGCAACCCGAAACCCTAAACCCTAAACCGAAAAATCCTAAACCTAAACCCTAAAACCCTCAAGCCTAAACCCTAAAACCTAGACCTTATCATACCCTAAAACCCTAAACCCTAAAACCCTAAACCCTAAAACCCTGAACCCTAAAATCCCTAAAACCCTAAAACCCTAAAATCCCTAAGACCTAAAAGCCCTAAACCCTGAACCCTGAGCCCCCAAACCACTGAACCCACAGTC